TTTTGGCCAGTTTAATCTGAAGAGTCAAACTCAGTCTGCTGCTTTTCCTTTAAAAGAAATAACGTTGGTCATTTTATGGCAAATTTGGTGTAGATTTTCTATGAAGAAAACACTCTCCATTGCTTAAGGAATATTTAAAGCCTAGTTAGATGGTAATTTTTTTTTCAATCTGCGCATGTTTTATACATGTATATAGATGTATGAAAATAACTTCTGAAATACAAGGCACCATGTTTCATTTATTAAGGTTTAAAATGATGCCCAAATTTTGAGGTTATTTTTACCACCAGGAACATAATTTTTAATATTTGGGTTTGACTAGGAATAGATTGCTGAAAGTTACCATCTGCTTCCAGTTTGCATACAAAATCCCAATTAGCTAAACTTCATATATGTTTTGCAAGGTAATTATGCTTACTTTTTTCCAAAATGAGAAAATATTTGTCAGATAGTATCTGGATGTCCTCATAAGCACAGCAATCTTAGCCTGACTTCATCTGCCCTCTAACATGCTCAAATAGAAGTTTATCAATTTGGTTGATGAGAGATTACGGCCTTTGATTACCACTGCTCCACAGTACTCTTTCCTCTCAATTACAAACACACATAGTCAAACTTAACAAGTTAAAGAACTCTGTTTTTTAATTCCACAAGGAGAAAGGAAGTTTAATTCTCAGTATTAACAGTACTTTAAATACAGTATCTATGTACCATTTTTCATGTAAGCAATTTGAGTTTCTCATATAAATAAACTAAGCATCTATCAAACATTTTTGATGCAGCTATATTATAAAATAATCCTAACCAGTATTATCAGCACACATTATTAATTTCAAATATCTATCACTATCAATATGAATACTCACAGATTTTCTTGCCAGATAGCTAGACATTAAAGCCCTATTGCACATCAGAAAAATTATTAGGAAGTGGTAAAGTAGTCAATTAATATACAGGCCTCAGAAACAAAGTAGAAAGGATTCCAGTTGGCCTATCTATTCTCCCACTGAAATCAGGGACATTACCAGGTATTGTAACTGTTTAAATACGGGACAATGTTGAATGTTTTGAAAATTCCACACTCAAATTCATCTGAGCCATAGTTTGAGAAAATTGAAGCCAATGGACACTGTGCCATTACAGATTAAATTTAGATCCTTTATTTATTGTTCTGTCCGACTTAGATTTTTCTCAGTCTAGGTAGAGCCAAATATAATTCAACTTCCTATGCTCAACATTTCACATTAAATTAAATAACCCTATTCACTTTTGATCTATTTTTCCCAATAAGTATGTGTACAGCTGCCCAGCATTGAGGAACAGAAAAATGTCAGAGTGGCTGAACAGAACTTAGTACCACAAGATTTAACATTTGGACAGCAACAACATCATCACATCTTTCAAGCAAATCTAGTTATTCAAAAGTACTAACTGATTTTTCTGTACTCATTAATTCCTACCATGAAACACAAAGCCAGGATAATTTACAGCATTATTCTATTTCCTTTACAAAAAAATCTTCTCCTGATGAAAAGTTGTACAAAAGATTGATTTTGTAACAGTAAAATAAAAATCACTTTAAAATCAAAAGCTAATACTGAGCATTGCTGTTCTTTGAGTGATGCCAACAGAGTCTTAGACTGGTATCCTGTTTGGAGGAGAAAAATGGATTCTTTTTAAAGATCGCATTCTAAAGTTTCCATCTTGTTATTTGAATGCTATTGCACTGCTGCAACTGGTTAGCACTGCACATCTGGCTGAATTGTCTTGGACTGGTATTTTCCCTAAACTATTGTGTATGTGTGTGATGGGTTTTCAAAAAAAAAAAATTGTATGCACACTGAAACAATGCCCTATTGCAGACTGCTACACACAATAATTAGTGAGAGCATATTTTTTTTCTGATTTTGTTTTCAACGTCAAAAAAATGCTATTTTTAAAGTAAGCCACTATGAAATTCTAGCCATGCTTTTACATTATTTTTAATTTTGGGTTTTTTTGGCTCTTAATCTCATAGGCCCAAACTTCACACTGGAAGTGTTATCTCATAAAAGCTCTAAATTTCAACAAATTTAACTCTACAGCTACTATTTTAAACTTACATTTATCAGGAAAAAGAGCATATAACTCAAATATTCTCATAAAAATAGTTTCACAGAAACAAAACAGATAAATGTTCCATTCAGTAAAAGGTCAATTTTTCATAACTTTGGCTACAGAAGCCCTACAATTCAGCCAAATTTGATTCCAAAGCCAAAAGTTTCTATGTCCTGCTGCTACAGACCATCGTATTAAGATTTTGCAAAGTCCATCAGACTAATGAGGGGCAAAAAGTCAGTCTTTTCTCATAAAATTACCACTATGACCAAATACTGTTACTTATAAATACTACTATTTACAACTTTTGCAACTCTTAAGCATTTGAAAAAAAAAAAAACAGGGGAGAGGTAAAGCAGTATTTCTTCCTTAAAAATAAACAAACACATAAATATCCAGAGCCCTAAAAATGCAAGGTCTGGGTTTGCTTTCTAGTAGAAAGGATCTGGAAAGCCCCTATTTCTGGTCAGCTAAGAATTCCCCTGCCATGGGGGAGCTCCCAGCTGATGCACAGCCAGCATTACTGGATCCTGCACAGATACCATTTGACACCAGCACAGGATGCATTAGGAGCTGGAAAGAAGTGACCAGAGCACGTTTTATACTTCTGAGGGTTCACATGCCTAGTCTGCTCTAATTTATACTCAGACTAGCTCTGCCTTATACAAGGCAGTTCTGCGCAGCTAAGCATAAATTCAGTGTAACAGAGAATCTGGATTTAGCTAAATATAAGAGGTCTCTAATGCTAAATCATAAATTAGCCAAGAACACTGAACTTGTTTTTACTGTACTGGAAGATTTGGGGAACCTTAGAGCCTGAACAAAAGTAATCAGTCTTCAGAGCTGTTGTCCTTCTGTCTTCACCACCACAGCCAGGTGTCTTGGTCTATGCAAGCACACAAAACCTTGGATATGTTCTTAACTGCTTCTATGTTAGCTATTGGGAACTCTCATCTGTACATTAATTGCTCATTTTTCATCACAAGTGCAAAATATGTGGCTGCAGACAGCAGGATTTCCTGACAAAAATGTGCAATTGTGTCTCTTGTGTTTGCCCAACTATATTTGAGACACAAAATTAACTTTCAACACATTTTCCAACCAGCAAGCAGAAGAGATTTGGGGTTGATTGAACAGGACACATGATGAGAAGACAAGACATTCAGTTGTGTCTCTGTCTTCTTTCTGTTCCTCCACAAGCTTCTATAAAAATGCCAAAAGAAGGTTTGCACCTTTCTTTAGAACAGGTCTGGCATAATGCTTGCCAGTACTCCCAAGCCATGTGTAAATTCAGCTCAAGATACACACTGTATCATTTATTCTCTGAAGAAAGCTGTGCGGTATTTCTTGGAACAATGAAAACCTGGCTTCTGGTTTTCCAGATATACATTTCTACTACCTAGTAAAATTTGGGCTTTCTGACCTCTGTCAGTTTTATGGATTTTGCAGACAACCAATTGCTGAACACATGCACTCCGGTGATTTCAATCAGTAGTTCCCAAGCTTAGCTCATTTGGTTACCATCATCAGAGATGGTGCTGACCTGTCATAAGACCATCTATGCAAAACCAGAAGCTTCTTGCCAGGCCAGGTACATGTGTATAGAGAAGCATGTCTGTCACCTCCAACCCTCTTACTGCAAAGTCTGATTCATCAAAGCAGGATCCTCAATGCCATGTCTTCATCTACCATTGCACTACATGTCTCACCTCACAAACCAGAGTCTCTGTTAAGTGTCCAATCCCTTACTTACCTTTTGACCACACATAACACCAACAGAAAGCAGGGTGAGAGTGACCGTAGCAACATCCTCCTACATAAAAAAGCCACCCTGCTTCACCAACTCTGTTTCTTTCTGCCTTAGCCCTGCTTGATACCTTCCTGAAGCAAGCACTGTGAGTTGTGCAATGTCAGATGGAGCGCTTACCGCTGAGAGAATTGCTGCAGCTGCAGGTACATAGAGAAGCAAGTCACAACTGATCAGCAAAAGCATTCTGTGTGGATATTTTTACCTCATGGCTCAGGTGAGTGCTTGTATACAAGCACAGTTAACAGCTGCCATCATCATGTACCATTTTAAGTTGGCTTTGTACCACAATTTGGGAATGTCTGTCTTAGACAATAGGCACAAATATGCATAACAGTCACATTTAGATCTGTTATTTTCTCTTTCTGACAATGTTCTAATTTAAGATCCTAGTTTCACTTAACCAGACATTTTTACTGGAGAAAACTTCATTCCCATATGGCACCTTCAAGGACCGTGACTCCTCCAGAAATTTGTATTACGTGAGCCAAATTCTACTAATAGTTGTACTGCTAACAGGTCACATACTTGGGGTTTGTTTTTAGACTAATGTTTGTTTAAAAAAGTGAGGAATACATTTTGGATTGTAAATATGTTCATCCCAAAAAAACTGTGAAGACAATAAGGGGAGTCAGATGGAAGAATTTTACCTCTACTTTGTGCTGATTATATAATTTATCAAGAAATTGTTCCACAGGCCTCCAACAGATGCTCTGCTGTTAAAGCCATGAAAAGTCATTCAGGGAGAGGGTAAAGGCCTCGGGGGGGTGGTCCACATGCTTCAGTACATATATCCTCAGTCCTGGCCCACAGATAGCACATCTGGTCCAGGCATGGACCTCATGGTTGGCCAAAATACAGGCTTACAATAATGCTCCTTTTTTCAGTTTTAATGTAAGCCTGTTTTCTTGCCAAATTCAAATCCTGCCAAAATTTGGCCAAAGATGTTTGCTCAATTGTGCAATATCTTGAGTTTATATCCAACAACTCTTTGCAAAAACAATTGTATCGTGTTTTTAATGTTTACAGGCATTAACAATATTTAATTTTAAGTAGAATTTTACTGCTGACGCTCTCGTGTTTTACAGTAAATTACCTTAGAGAGGGTTTTTCCATTAGCTCTTAGTGTCACGAGTCCTGCACAGCACACCAAAGCACTGGAGCTAGAGAGACCAGAACTCGGAGGGATGGTTCCATCTAGCAGACAATTCATTCCAGTTGGGTTATTAAGACCAAAATGTTCCTAACAATGAAAAAATAAACAATCTCAGTTTCAAGTACAGACAGGCTCAGGCTTGCAATTATCTGATACTTAGAAAGAGAATCTTTCTGTTGAGTTGCTGGAACCAAGGACCTGCTTCTGGTCTCTCCAAAATAAAGCAAAACTTTCATTCTATTCCTTGAGAACAAAGCCAGTGGTAGAGCTGCAGCCAAAGGTATGTCTGCAATTCCTGTACACAAACATATACGAGCAGACAGAACTGTACCCCAAACAGAATTCAGTATGGGCTAAACGCCCAAGAATTTACGGAGCTTCGTGGGTGGGTTTTGCAGCAACTGGCTCTGCTCTGAGCTGCAGTGGTGACAGTACTAGAGGTTACCAAACATTTTATACCCTACTTTTGTCCTTTCCTCCACAGCTCCTCACTTAAGGCATCCTGAAGAGCTTAAGGTTCACTTTATGCTTTACGTCTCATGCTGGCATGTGGTATTAGGGAGGCACATCATACTGATGGGGAACTAGTAGCCATGCAGCTGTATTCAAAGCCAGACACTCTGATCTCCTGAAGTGCCCACAGGACTGACACTGAAAAAACCAAAACGGTACTTGAAGGACACTACACTTTATGAGGCACAAAGGCATACCTACCAGTGGTGATGGTCTCTGTCATGCTATTGTTAGAATAAAGTTTAAAATATTTTTACATACATGATAGATATCACAGATAATACATTTAAACCACAAGTAATAAATCCTCATGTACATACTCTTTTAATTACTCTCCAGTTGCTTTGTCTTTTTATTTATAATCACTTTAATATAAATTCTTCTCTGTTGTTAGTTTGAAAGAAACATGCAGTACTTATTAAAAAATCATTGAATGTATATTGGGGGTATATGAATAGCTACATTCTGATACAGATCTATATGTCAATAAACTATGTTACAATGTTAATAATCAGATACAATGGCAGTGTTTCCATAAAGAAATGTCCACCTTCAAAAGATTTCTACTACTTTTCTTGAAACAACTTCAACCATAAATACCAATGGTAGAGATCAGCAAACACAAAGAGCCGCCTTTAATGTCTTCTACCATCACTTCAAATTATTTTAAATTTCCCTTTCTATAAATATAAGAGAATTCATACCTAAAATACTACTGCTGCCCATGCCCCTTCATGAAGAACACTAGACAGGCTTGTTCAAAACCAGAAAATGCTTGAGTAACCAGAAACTGATCCAGAGTTTCTGGATTGTCTTGAATGTGAATCAGGCTTGCAAACTTATCACGCGATGTTTAAATAGAAAACGTACTTCGGTTTCAAAAATGAAAATGGACTTTGCCAAGTTCTGCAATAGTTCTGTCCCAAAAGGATAGCATGTTCAACTTAATATAAACAGATTATCCCGCTGGACCCTCTGAGTACTTGTATTTCAGTGTTTCCTAAGTCTGTAACATTTATGCTTATTTTCTGCCAGTGCTAGAGTCTGCAAACCTGCTTTGCAAATTAACCTTCAAGTATGAAAGCTTGTCCTTAGGAAACAAATCTCAGTAGCAGACTGCAAAATAAATAAAGTCAATTGGTCACGCTAGCCTTGATATAAGAAAGGATATACTATAAAGAAACCTAATCTATATTTCTACAGTCAATGCAATTTAAATGCCTATGTTACTGAGCAATACAAAATTGAAAATACTCACATTACTGCAAACATAAGTAATTTATTGGGGTCCAAACATAGGGACAGGGGTCTGTTTAGGAACTGTGGATTGTCATAAAGTGATTTGTGGCACTGATCGTTCCAAATATTGTATTTTGAAGACTTAAGTGGCAGGTCTGAGGCAGGCTTTGTTGGCAGCCTGCAGTCCTCATCTATTGGATTGTCCTGTGGGGTGACCTAGATGGCCTATCCCAAGGCAAGGTTCATGTGCTTTAAAAAGCACACTTACCCATAATTTGGGCTGGCCATGGCGATCTGTTCCTGACCTAGCCATCACTGTTTATCTCATCTGCCCTTCCAGAAATATCACTGGATTGACATCGAGCTGAGAAGTCACCATGTTTTTTCCTCAAAGGGCCATGAATCACCTGCAAACACCAGCTGACATTCATAGGAAGCCTCAATTGTGAGTTCAGGCTGCCTCCCAAGACAACACTGATGATCAGCACTTCGTTTCACAA